GTATGGTGTTGTCTGATATATGTATCATTGGACTGAATTTTATTGGTTTCTTTTGCAATTCGTTTTGGGGTAAAACGCTATCCCTCCCATCCTACACATACGCGACGTCACAAGTTGCACGCGATGGTGCCGCGTCAGCTAAGTCACGTGACACAAACTGACAAACATGACTTCTTTTAATACATTTTTTTTATTGCGTAGGGTATTTCCTAGCGAATACAATGTTTTGAGAAGGATTTGAAGAAAAATTTTGTTTGAATATGGTTTTAGTCCAATTATATCATCAGATCACCCAGTTTGTACCGTGGAATGTATCTTTAATGTGTCTTAAAATGTTATTTTCTAATATAAAGGTAACAGTTATTATCGTGATAAATATAAAACATGTAGATAGGTTTTTATTGGCGCTAGGAATATGTTTGCTAACTTCATTTCGAATCTGGGTGCTGGAATATGGGTGAGCGATACCGCACGATATTCAACCCTTGATTCCGTGAAATAAAAAACATTTTCCCACCAAAGCTGGTTTGGGTCGTTTTTTGATGCAGCGTGGGCGTACCCGTTGTTTATTGAACTCACAAACTCCGCCTCGAATCCGGGTGCTAGGAAATTTGCAGTGGTATAACTCGATACGCCAACATAGAAAGTTAATGAAATTTGGCATGTTCATGCCATATGCACCTGCCCAGTTGGTGAAATAAAGATATTGAAGCCACCAAAGCTAGTTTAGAAGTTATGGCGTGCGCAGTGAGCCTACCCTAACACGATTCCCCCATTTTTTTAGTATGTTTACGGTGATATTATCTCGAAAAGCCCAGCATAGGAAGCTTCTGAAATTTGTATTGTAATAGTTTATTCATCCCTTGATTCCGTGAAACAAAAAACATTTTCCCACAAAAGCTGGTTTGGGTCGTTTTTTGGATGCAGCGTGGGCGTACCCGTTGTTTATTGAACCCACAAACTCCGCCTCGAATCCGGGTGCTAGGAACTTTGCGGTGGTATAACTCGATACGCCAACATAGAAAGTTACGTTAATGAAATCCGGCATGTTCATACCTTGTGCATCTGTCGATTTGGTGAAATAAATATCTTGGATCCACCAAAGCTAGTTTAGAAGTTATTGCGTGTGCGATGAGCCTACCCATACCCGATTCCCCCATAGTTTTAGTATGTTTACGGTAATATATCTCGAAACGCCAACATAGGAGCCTTCTGAAAGTTTGTATTCTAGTAGTTTATTTATCTCTTGGTTCCTTGAAACAAAAACATTTTCCCACCAAAGCTGGTTTGGGTCGTTTTTTGATGCAAAATGGACGTACCCCTTTTTTGCATGCTCAGTTAGTCTAGTGTGCGATATTTTAGTATGTTTACGGTAATAGTATATTTTGGGTTGTGGGTTGGGGTCGGGGGATCTATTACATATATACTTTGCATGAATATGTTTTAAAATTTTATTTTCTAATATAAAGGTAACAATTATTTTCGTGATAATTACATCTAGGTTTTTCTTGGCGCTAGGAATACGCGGGCTAACTTGATCTCGAATCCGGGTGCTGGAATACGGTGAGAGAATTATGTCTGCTAACTTGATCTCGAATCCGGGTGCTGGAATACGGTTGAGGGATTCCGCTCGGCAAATGTTGACAATCTGTGACGCCGGAGGCACGAGGCTGCACAGCAGTCGATGTAGCGCGATAGGGAGAGTGTGGGAGGGTCACCCTCTCACTGGGAGGGCACCCCCATATTTTTTTTAAAGTTACAGTCGTCTGTAAACACTGTTTTGGCATATTTTACGGTGTTAAACTAAAACATCACACCGTATTCATATTTTTCATGACTTTTACATATTGAATGTTACGCTTGAGTTATGAACAACACGACAAAGAGAGTTTAGTAGGGGAATTTTTATGAGGAGGATCCAAGTGAAACAATCACCTTGTTAACTACAATACTATATACATATACACATTGACATTTACAAGAAAGTTGTATAGATATGTAATCTATTTTGTACATTTTGTGTATTATAAATGGATTTCTAAAAGTAAACATAAGTGTTTGTGTTATAATTTGTACATTGTTTTATACAGATAGAATGTTAACTAATCCTAATAATTGTTGTAAATAAATAGGAGTTCGGACCTACTATGTATATGTTCTTCTTTTTTTTTGGGGGGGGGGGGGTCCAAGTATATTCAGACCTCACCAGAAAAACACATGTATGGTTCAAAGAAGGAATTGAAACATATGGTAAGTATACGGAGCGTTCAGAACTTAAAACAACTTAAAATTTAAAACAACAATATCAATCATATTAAAACAACAATATCAATTTTAAGATAACACATTTTTATAACAAAATCAGCGATAGTGCAGTCTAATTCCTTTAAAAGGAAATCTGAATTCATGAAAGTTACAATTTCATATTTGCAAAGAAAGTCAAAACATAATTATTTCTATGTCTTTTGCTCAATAGCTTGTCAACTCACTATTATACGATAATATGTGTCATTCTCACACTTAAAACTCATTTACACCGGAAATAATAACACAATTACCTCCCAATTACCCCCCTTGTTTTCTACTCTCCACCATGGAGTAGTTATATTCAGACGTTTGAATTTGAAGATGGAAATGATATTTTTGCCAATTTCTCAACTGGCAATAGTGAATTATAGGATTAATAGGATTATTTTTTAACAAGGTAGGACTGTTTGTAGATACCATCTATTTTAAGGCTTTATTTTAATAAATTTTAAAAATATAACTTAAAAATATGAAATTGCAACTTTAATTGTCTGCGATATCACTTCGGTGGAAGCGGACGTTAAATAAAGCTATTTCACGTACAAAGGCCTACAATAAAATCCAGGTGAATTGGGAAAATATTCATGTATTTTCTTTATGAAGAGTAGCTATTTCAATTTGTAAATGCCCAGTTATCTTAGACAAATAATAATTCAAACTTCAAATCAGTTGTATTTTTTTCAAATCATACCACGAGGAATTGCATTTATCCACTTGCATAATAATAAAAACTTTACTTTTATTATTTTATTTCGTCAGGCCAAGAACATGGAAAATTGGAAATGAAATGAAATGAAATGGAGTTTAACGTCCTACTGTTTGCTCCTAACCTGGGCTAATGAAGACGGGCATACGCCATACAGTGTGCTATGAGGGAAATTTTGCCCGGACAGCGGCACTACGGCCTACTCTTATATCGAATTCCAACTGCCAAGGGATCTTTTACGTGCATTCCAATGTATACACGGGACCTCGGTTTTTCGTCTCATCCGAAGGACTAGACAGCTATCCATGTCAGGCCCTCCGTCCTGCATCACTGACAAGGGGGAACCACGCCGGAAAATCTGGATGAACTTTCTCGGCCAATGCAGGGATCGAACACCCGACCTCCAGGCTAGCGAGCTAGCTGGAAAATTGGTAATTGCCTTGCATCACTGCCAACTATAAGGCACAGGGAGCCTTGAGCAGAAATGATAATAAAAGGTAAGACTTTTTAAATACCAAACAAAAAATTAGCAAGGTTTAATATGGTTCTCAGATATGTTATAGTGTACAGATTGTACAAAAAACAATTTTATACACTTGCTATTATATTATTTTGCTCACAGAGAATCGGGTGTGTAATCATCAGAAACAGATGTAAACTTCAAATGATCATAGGTATTTGGATAATTGATTGGTGTGGTTTTAGACTCATATAATGCCACCAAACTGGCCATTTGGTTCAATGTGAAACTTGGTGATGCATGTAATTTGTGTTTGAAAGAGGAGTAAGCAATAATACTGCCTGACTAAAATACTTTCCCCTCTTGCATTCGCATATAGCCATACATATGAGTCTCAGAATAATATCTATTGCTACATTATGCTCTTTTCAAACGACTCAGTGAGCTATTTTACTTTTATTCTGCCATCTAAATAACTATGTACCCATGACTGGTGTACCAAGTAAAAACCAAATCGAAACCCCATTTGTCGATAAGTGTATTTATAATCATCACTTTATATTTTTCAGAGACTTGAACATCCTTGGAGAAGTATATCTATTTAGTAAATATTAATACCAAAGAAAGAAAACAACTCTAAATTCTGAACATAAAGTCACCAAATTATTTTATAGATCTTATTGTTGAAACCCAAAATTTATATGTCACCATTGCCTTTTTAATCACTTTTTTGTTTTTAATTTCAAATACCAAGCCATCTCTAAATATTTGTTCATTATAGAGACTGCAGTGTAATCCTAAACACTAAGAATTTGGCCTGAAAACTTGAAATATTATAGAGGTGTCATCAATAATTAATAGTAACAGTCGATAATTATAAAAATGTATTATTGTAGGATGAAATCAACCTTTATTTTTAAACATTTAGTTAATATTTCGAATGTTTATGCCTCTTTTATATAAAATGGTTTTATTCATCAATTTTTGTTTTACAAATTTTAAATTTCTCCATTTTATTTGATTTTTATACTATATTTATTTTATCTATCTATAATTATTTATCCTGTATCTTATCTAGTAGTTTCATTTTATGTACTGTAGAAAATTTTGAATTCCTAATCTGTTAAAGGGAATATTTGTTCTTAAAAGTATTTAAATTTAGTGCATAATTAATGTCTTTAGTGCTTGATTTGGTTGATATTAAATTTAGATATATTTAAAATGTATGTTTTGGGAGCATGGGGTAGGAATATTGTGTACATATGTATTATATTCTCAGTTCTTTTTAAGGTTAATTGTAAAATAAAAAAAATTAAATAGCTATTATTTTTATTTGGGGATGGGGGGTTGGGAATATTGTTATTATTGAATAGAATTTTATTAGTATTGGAATTAACTTTGTTTATTAATATTTCAAATGTCTCAGTGCTTATTTTTTTTTTTCAATTTAAATAGCTACTTTTTATTTAATAATTGGGAATGGGTGGGTGGGTGGGTGGGGGGTATTTTTTCATTGTATAACACAACACAAGTTTCAGAAATTTCAACACAAGTTTCAGAAATTTCAACACAAGTTTCAGAAATTTCAACACAAGTTTCAGAAATTTCAACACAAGTAATGTGTAGATTTTCACACAAGTTTGTGTTGTTTGATAAATTTTAACACAAGTTTTGTGTTGTTTCAACATTTAACACAAGTTTGTGTTGTTTCAACACAAGTTTTTTTTCGGTGATAGTATTACACAGTAGACCCCTTTTCCGGAGGATGAGGATAACTGCCAATACGGAGTCAATACCAATTAATATGACCAAGTAGAAATAGAACGCATTTTTTATGTAACACAAGGTCTGTGCATCTCGAGATTCGAGTATGGGATCAGGCAGTCCGAAAATCAACAGGAAACCTACAAAAACAAATAAATATAGATGATTAATCAAATAAATATAGCTGATTAGTCAAATAAATATAGCTGATTAATCAAAGAGACAATAAATTTACACTAAATATATCAAATGATATCATGTAATGAAATGGATTACCATAATCAAGGGAGCTAACTCCAGAAGTAGTTATCCGAAATTACACATTATAAAAAAACGAATATAGATCTGTATTTTAATCAGATTGAGTGCATCGTGTATAAAATTGTCAGGTTTGAATTTCAAGACTCACCAACTATCATCAGTCCAACAAGACTAATTATTAGCAGAGAAGTTACAATGTGTTCTTGGTAACTTGTATTCCTTTTTCGACAACTTACATGAATTAGGAACATACACATCCAGACATGTACGATCAGAAAAACAGGACAAATTGAAAGCCTGAATAAAACTAGAAGAAGGAACAAAAATAAGCAAATAAATGATCATCAATTTCTATGCCGAGTCTAGTTTTCCGGAGAACTTCGTGAATTTCTTTTTCTACTAAAATTGAACTCAACCCTTCCTGGATTGATTCACTTATCCGGAACTAACCAGAGAGCTGCGAAAGGTAACATATTTACGTGATAGGCTAACATACGTCAGATAATTTCAGAGGCAAACCCGAATCCGAGAAATAAGTTTGATTCAGTCCCAAAATACCCCCCCCCCCTGTCCCAAAAAACCCGGCCACGCCCCTCGCCATAAAGTAGAAACGAAACGAAAATAGTTTAAAGCATACCATACGGACTGGAAAGACGTTGACGCTGAAAGAAAATGATATGAAATAAAATGAAATGGGGTTTAACGTCCTACTATTCTGCTCCGAACTGGGGTAATGAAGACGGGCATACGCCATACAGTGTGCTATGAGGTAAATTTTGCCCGGACAGCGGTACTACGGCCTACTCTTATATCGAATTTCAACTGTCAAGGAACCTTTTACATGCACGCCAATGTGTACACGGGACCTCGGTTTTTCGTCCCATCCGAACGACTAGACAGCTGTTCTTGTCAGGCCCTCTGTCCTGCATCACTGAACTTTCTCGGCCAATGCACCGGACCTCCAGACTAGCGAGCCAGCGTCTTACCCACTTAGCCACCGTGACCCCTCGCTGAAAGAACATGTAACACATTGCACTTCTTGTATTGGTCCACTTTGTCGTGGGTTTTTTTTCTCTCGGAAATTCGTTTTGATACAAGCATAAAGAATCTAGCCTCTCCCCGCGTACTCCCCCCCCCCCCCCGACAGAAATCATGTACACGCCATGAAGAAACTTACCCAAGGCATACACGGTGAGAAGATATGTCAGCACATATAACAACCGAACTGAAATTAATCAGGAATTCCATTATCAAATTAATAACTCATACAACGTTCTTTTAATTGGGGGGGGGGGTGGATGGCCGAATGGTTAGCACGTGCGTGCTGTATCACACAACCTGTCATTGAGTCAACTGGCGTGGTTTCGAATCCCCGGTTGTACGTGGCAAGGAGCAGGGTCGCCTGTTCAACCTCGTGGGTTTTCTCGAGACTAACATATGGTTCGATTTTATTTCATTAATTAGCTTGCGCGTAGAGGTCTTTAGCATTGGGTGTGTGTAGGGGGGGGGGGGGTCTGTAGCGGGGGAATAAGAAAAAAACCCACGAGGTTGGACAGGCGATTCAACGCCTTGCCACGTACAAGCGTGGATCGGAACCACGCCACTTGACTCACGAGGTTGGACAGGCGACCCAATGCCTTGCCACGTACAAGCGTGGATCGGAACCACGCCACTTGACTCAGTTACAAGACCTACTGATGTAAAATATTAGAAAATGTAGCCCCTATTACGTTACCGAGTCATTTGTTGGCAGACTGAGGGATCCATGGGTGACGACATAATATGAAATGTTGGTGTATAAATTTCAATGACAATTAGTATTTAAATATCACGAATGGAAGGAAGTGCTCACAAGGCATGTCTTTAAATGGTATTGTAAATAGACTTCCGGTAGTGGCAATAATTGATAGCGGGTGATTCCTGATCATCAAGTCGGGGTCTCTATACTTTTCACATCAGGTGCTTTTCGGTGGATTACAATATACTCGGAGAAAACGTAATACAGAATAAGAAATTTGTGAATTGCTGGTTATCTCTACAGTAGATAACTTCTCTCAATGATCAATGCTGTACTCAAACACACACAACACCATCGATCACCCACATGGACCCCTTGATTCATGAAATCCTAGCTTTTAAAGCACTCGAAAACCTAAAACACGGAATCCTAGCATTTAGGCAACTCGGGCACCCAATGCTAACATTCCGGCCACTCGGCAGCCTAACCCAGCATATGGACGAACAGGGCCCTCACAAGCTTAGGGTAAAAATTTCATTGATACCCCCACCCACCCCACCCCCTGATGCATACTGTAACTGATTGTCCAGTTCCTACTCTCAGTTGATTTTTCTATGATTAAAGACATTTCAAAATACATTTTGTTTATACTTTTAACACTTTATCTAAATAACTATTTATTAAATCAACTTATGTGTAAACTTTTTATGTTTATTTACCCTTCAACTCTCCATACGATCGAAAAACCCTATAATATATCATGTAAATATTACAATTCTACCCTCTCTATTTACTGAAATATAAACTGGTTTACTGAGGTTTAGGGGAAGTGAAGGCTGGTGATTTGCTATTTCAGGCTCCATTGAATATTTCTGGTATGGACTTAGATAAGTTGCCCCCCCCCCCCACAAAAAGTGTCGGCCCCGGGCATGTGCCCCCTAAGCCTCCACTACGTGAGAGCTCTGTAGACGAACGTTTAAACATATAATCCAAGATTTTAGACCACACAACCAACGAACCCACTAAAACATAACTTATACTTACACATACAAATGTACATATACTTGCATCTCGTCTTACACATGTTCATACACCTGCACCTGTTCTTACACCTGCACCTGTTCTTACACCTGTTCTTACACAAATCACCTTCCTTGTCTTTATTAGAGTTATCTTTACCATCTTCTAATTCAATAATATACACTGACAAAACAAAATATTAAAGACTCAAAATTACAATTCAATATACACTGATCTGCCCCTTGTTATTTCAGCACACCACTGTTTAACTGTACTACATGATAAAGCAAATGAGAGGATAAACCTGTTTGACATCTATATTATACAGGAAATTATAGCACGTGGAATTCTTGTATCGCATGTTATGCACATGCTGAGATCCTTAACATGCTGAAATACTTATCTAGCATTATGTGCAGGTCGGTTACAGTTGGGTGATTCGTTCATAGTGAGGACAGCCCTCGTATGTTGTGTTTCAAACGTCAGACAAACAGACCCTAATTAAACCGCCTCGCACTCACTCCGCTTAAACTGATGTACGACATGAGGTCCAAATGAAACCTTACCTTTGGAAGCCATGCCTGTGATGTCAACTTCTTGACCAGCAGCTGGTCTTTGGTAAAACGAATAACAACGCATATAGGTGTAGCATGTAGTTTACCGTCTCGTATAGATAGCCATTTTATTACGGAGACCGTGAAGGGACATAAAATAAAAATGATATTGACTACCCAGTTAACATTGATGGTTAGATTTACGTAAAGTTTACGTCATTATGGTTAGATTTTGGTTAGCGTCCAATAATGGTAAAATTCTTTGGTTAAATTTACGTTACTTTTACGTCATAATGGTTATGGTTACTTTTACGTCAGAAAATGAACTAAATGTAACGTAAACTTTATGACGGATTACTAACCAATTTTTTTCCCTTTGAATACTTCTTGATTAAATAACATTACAAGTGTGTGCACATTCTAACAATTGATATATAGTCGGAATTCAGACATAATAATTATATATGTATTATTGGTTATAATTCTAACGTTAATCTAACGTAAATTTTACATCAGGTTTCTAACCGTTAGTTTATGGTTAGTTTTCTGACGTAAATCTAACGTTAGTTTTCTGACGTAAATCTAACGTTAGTTTTCTGACGTAAATCTAACGTTAGTTTTCTGACGTAAATCTAACGTTAGTGTTAGTTTTATGTCATAATTTTAACCGTTAATTTAACGTTAGTTTTCTAACGTAAATCTAATGTTAATTTTATAACATAAATCTAACTTTAGTTTTCTAACATAAATCTAACGTTAGTTTTCTAACATAAACCTGATATTAGTTGTAAAACGTAAAACAAATGTCAGTTTAATGTCATGATACTAACAATTAAGGGCCTGACAAGACAGCTGTCTAGTCATTAAAATGGGTAAGACCCTGGCTCGCTAGCCTGGAGGTCGGGTGTTCGATCCCTGCATTGGCCGAGAAAGTTCATCCAGATTTCCGGCGTGGTTTCCCCTTGTCAGTGATGCAGGACGGAGAGTCTGACAAGGACAGCTGTCTAGTTGTTCAGATGGGATAAAAAACCGAGGTCCCGTGTACACATTGGCATGCATGTAAAAGATCCCTTGACAGTTGGAATTCGATATAAGAGTAGGCCGTCGTGCCACTGTCAGGGCAAAATTTCCCTCATAACACACTGTATGGTGTATGGCCATCTTCATTAGCCCAGTTCGGAGCAGAACAGTTGGACGTTAATCCCCATTTCATTTCATTACATTTTGTATCCATTTCTAAGTGCCCAAGAATAGAGATCTAGCTCCTTTAGTAGTTGCGGTCTGTAGGTGTCACACAAAGAGAAACTGAATGAATGAATGATCTACTCTCATTTCAAATTCCAAATGTCAAGGGTTCTTTTACGTGCACACCCACGTGATGGACTAGACACTGTTTTTTTTAGGTCCTCTGTCCTACACCACTACTAACAAAGGGAACTTTCTCGACCAACATGGGGATCACGTTGGCTAAGTGGGTAAGACGCTGACTCGCTAGCCTGGAGGTCGGGTGTTCGATCCCTGCATTGGCTGAGAAAGTTCATCCAGATTTTCCTGCGTGTTTTCCCCTTGTCAGTGATACAGGACGGTGGGCCTGACAAGAACAGCTGTCTAGTCAGGGATGAAAAACTGAGGTCACGTGTACACACAGGAGTGCACATGAAAGATCCCTTGGTAGTTGGAACTTGATATAAGAGTAGGCCTTAGCGCCGCTGCCTGGGCAAAATTTCCTTCATAGCATACTGTATGGCGTATGCTCGTCTTCATTAGCTCAGTTTAGGAGCAGAACAGTAGGACGTTAAACCCGATTTCATTTCATTTTTCTCGACCAACACGGAAATTGAACCCCTCATTTGCTAGCCAGTGTGTTACTAATTACTAGAGAGAGAGAGAGAGAAATGGGGTTTAACGTCTACTCGACACAAACTAGGTCATTTCGGGACTAACATATGGTTTAATTTTTATTTACATAATTCGCTTGCGCGTAGGGGTCTTTAGCAGTGGGAGAAAACCGGAGGTTGGACAGGCGACCCTATTCCTTGTCACGTTCAACCGGGGATCCGAAACCACGCCAGTCAACTCAATGACAGACTTTATGATACAGCGCCCGCACACTAACCATTCAGCCATCCAACCCCCCCGTTACTAATTACTAAGTTTGTGAAATGTAGGTTTTTTCTCATGTAGGTTTGTCCTGATGAAGACAGGTACATACCATACAATGTGCTATGAGGGAAATTTTGCCCCAGCAGCGGCACTATGGCCTACTAATATCGAATCCAACTGCCAAGGGATCTTTTCGTGCAAGACAATGTATACATGGTACCTCGGTTTTTTGTCCCATCTGAGTGACTAGACTACTGTCCTTGTTCCTGCACCTCTGACAAGGGGAAACCATGTCGGAAAATCCTGATGAACTTCCTCCACCAATGCAGGCATCGAACACGTGCCCTCCGGATTACCGAGCCAGCATCTTACGCACTTAGCCACCGTGGCTTTATCAAAATTAGTAATGAAGATGTGCTATGACAGAAATTTTGCCTGGACAGCAGCATTACCGCACTTACTAATGACGATGTGCTAGGAAAGACATTTTGCCTGGAGAGCAGCATTTCCGCATATAGTCATTACCAATAGTTCTAAGTGCACGCCAACCTGTAAAACAGGTCTTTACACACTTTTCCATCATTACCAATTACTAGTTTGTGGGTTCACTAGTCCGTGGGTGCACTAATCCGTGCATTCACTAGTCCACTAGTCTGACTCTATAAAATACTATAAATATGAGTATTAAAGAAACCCAGTAGATATGGTGACTGATATCACCCTTCGTAAACCGATAACCCAACATCACGGCATTTTAACCCGAAATCACAACATTTTAACCATTATAGCATATGCCCTTCTTCATTAGCCCACTTGGAACAAAATAGTAGGATTTTCAAACCCCATTTAAAATTCATTTTCATACTTTTCTGCACCAATCGGACTATTGAAGATAGTCATACGCAATGCAGAGTGCTATGACGAAAATTTTCTATGGACTGTGGCAGGGCGGAGGATCTGGCAAGGGATAAGGTATAGGTGTTTGGGTCATACAAAAAATCAAGTCCTCATGTACATATTGGCATGCACGTAAAAGACACTCCGACAGTTGTAATTCAATATCAGAGTAGGCCATAGTGCCACTATCCGTGCAAAGTTTCCGTCATAGTACACTGTATATAGTGTATGCCTGTCTTCATTAGCTCACTCAGAGCAAAACAGTAGGATGTTTAATCTCATTTAATTTTATTTAATTTTCCTACTTTTCTGCACCAATGGGACTATAAAAGATAGGCTGGCAAGCGGACGACCATATATTTATCGTCTCTCGATAAAAGACCTATCTCTGAAAATTAAAATTCCCCGATTTGATTATTCTTTTAATATGACGTGATTATGTAACCTCATATAAAATATAGTAGAGCGTATACAAACAAATTATATGAATAGATTCATTATCAGAAATATTACAGGCCTTTCAAACGAACAGTCGCCATTTTTAGAGATAGATGTACAAATATATTTTTATCGTCTCGGGCAAGGTCAAGGTCACGATCTGTTCACGGTTGATGATTGTGTTTAAATCGGTTTATATCATATTATTTCTATTCACATTACAATATTTTTTTATAGGTTACGGTTATTGTTGTTATTTATCTAAATTGCTTTTATTATTTATTAAATATTTTTTGTTTGTTCGTTTGACCGGAACGTACGGAATTCTGGGATTTAAAATGGCGGCATAACTTATTATTTTTCCCAAAGAAGAAATGATGCCGTGATTTAAAGTTAAATAAAGCTATTCCACACATACACAGACGATTTTGGATTCAGCAAAGTAAAGTTGAAGGTAAGTGCACTTTTTATGCGAACGTCCGTTGACAGTATACCGATAGATCTAATGTTGATAAAAAAATAATCTGGCCGTGGAAAAAGTTTGCACGCAACTTTGTATATCAGAGAGTCAGTATTTGTTTTTAACACGATGCAGTTACATTGTCCGTAAACCATACTATTCATAAACAAAATCAACATTGCTTTAAGTTATCGAAAGTAATACTGGTTCCAAAATTGTTTTTAAAAAATCTGGATTAAAAAATTATCAAACACATAACGAATTTATTAATGATGTAGACTGTTAAAATTCAGGCTGTGCTAATTATAATATAAGTACATGTAGTATTTTCTAAACATTTTTATGGGTGTTTCAGGTTGGTTTTTTTTGTTATTGTACTGATATTTTTGCAAATTTAATAATGCATAATGCAAGAGCTAAATCTACATATTGTATGTAGGTTAAGTAGGTATTTCTTGAGACTGTAAATGTTAAATTTTTTTATAAGACATTTTAATGTATTAACTTGCTAAGTCTATAATCAAGTCTCAATGCCATCGGGTGCTCGAGATGTTCACATATTCAAACACTGGCGGTTAATGTTAATGATTTAATTTAATTGAAAAATGGATAATCAAGACTTTAAGCTTATATACATAGGCCTATTTAAATGATATAACATTAGATAACAAGTTTGCCCGTACATACTTGTACATAAAGGTTTCAGTCCTACTCCCCAGCTTATTTTTTCTTGTGGTGGCCAAGAAAGTTCATCAGGATTTTCTGGCATGGTTCCTCTTTTAACTGGTGCAAGACAGAGGGGCTGGTAAGGGCTAATGTACAGTTGTTCGGATAGGACAAAAAACCAAGCTCTTTTGTACACACGGCCAGTCAAAATTTCCATCACAGCACACTTTCAAGCATTTGTCCAACTTCTTTAGCCCTGTTTGAGCAGCATAGTATGATGTTGAACCCCATTTCATTACAGATCCACAGTAGGTTGGCTGTCAGCCCAGTTGGAGCTGAACAGTAGGCCGTTTAACCCAATTACGTTTTTTTTGGGGAGTATAAAGTTGCTTTTTATTTATTTATTTTTTTTTACAGATCCTACATGTATATTTGAGCACCCTTGGTGGCAGTAATGACAAAGAAGTTCTAAAAAGATTTATATGGGCTTTATAATGAAAGTTAGACAACACTACTACTTGCCAAACACTACTACTTGTCACATAATGTAATGATATAAATATATATGTATCTATGGTAGCACAAATATCATCA